CAGTGAGTTTACTTTTATACATTTGTATTGTACTAAATTCACATTGTTCGAGTGATTACTTAAAGGATCCAACGTCATCTGCAGTGGTGCAAAGAAATGGAATATTTCAGTATTTCAGTGTTCTACTGATTGAAAATCTTCGAGGTGTTACAACAACATTAAAACACACTGGACTGGGAGGATTCCAGATTCAAAACGTTTTTAGATTGAAGCATTTGATTGACACTCTGGGATTCGAGGACCTTATGAGGGTTTCTAGTTCAACTGAAGTTCTTAGTGATTAAGAAAAAGTGTGCAAGACGAAATCAGTGCTGTTCACCGTTTCAGCTCATGATAATGGTACTTCTTACAGGATCTCTGGTAGCTGAATATCATCAGAAAGTCGGTGCAAAGAAAACTAGAGAAGAAACTGAAAAGTGCAGGCAAAAAGCCAGAGCAATTAAAGAGCCAGAGTTGTTCAATGCCAAGTTTACGACGTGCTTGTTGCGTGGTTTGCAAAAATCTCGAGCAGAGAGTCCATGATGCAATTTTTAAGCAACGATCATCAATGTTCCCTTCAAATGCTAATCTACCAACAATCATCTGTACCGTGTGCTGTTAAATCATGCATGATGCTTCAATCCTTGTTGTGCTTCGAAAATGTTGATTAAATTCTGTTCTTCAATGAATGAGTTCCACTGATTTCTTGATGACATTTGAAACATTACATCTATTCATTTCATTCGATGAGGAAAACTTTAGTTAACAATGATGAAAAACTGAGTGGAGTGGGCAAAACAACTGATCGAGATCATAGATTCATTTTCAATGCGCAAAAAACAGTGCAGCAGGCATTAATAACTTATTCATAACATTAAAGCAGCAATTACAGCTCATTACGAATGTACATCACCAATACCAGCGATATCAGATTCTTCCATCCTCGACATCCTTCCTTCCACGTGGCAATCTTTTTGGAACTTTATCTGGATAACTAACTATAAGCACTTTTGAGAACTTCATAATTATGCTGCTAGGTTTTACAGATCATAAATTAAGGACATCTTCTGTGAAACAATTCACTGAAAATTCTTTGAATTTTTCAACCATTCGCTAGCCATCTTCCAAACTGTGCACGGTAACAGATGCCTTTGCAAATTTTGCTGGCTGAATTACCGTTCTCAGTTGATGCTCTTCAATTCTGCTCTCACACTTCGTCGTATTAGATAACTGAGAATATGTGGAAAATTCAGTGGTTCGTCGCTGTTTTTGAAAATCCTTCTAGCACTTCCGTTGATGTTTTCACCGCATTTCGTATACAAAGAATGGTTATCGTTTAGCAGTTCAATGTATTCGATGAATCACATTTGATATCATCACAAAATGATAAATGGCGACAATCAGAGCGAAATATCGCGATGGATTACATTTGGAATCACTCTCACGTTAAGGCTCATACCGGGTAACCATCCAGCTTTCAACAGCTACTTCAGCTATGATATGAGTATCTGCCTAAGAATAAGCCCAAGTGTAATCCACCGTGATATTTGATTCTGCCTATCAACACCTACTAAATATGTAGGTTACAAATGAATCTTTATACCTACCCTGAGAATACCCTTTTCAGCTACTTCAACGCTGAGCATTAATATCTTTATAACTCACTCTCTTATAACGAGGAGCTAACCACATTGTCACTGTCCAGGAATAGCGTATCAGGAATAAAATCGTCAGTTGTGAGCATGGCACTGACCTGAATATGCTTCACAACTTGCGTGCTATTTCAAGAATCAGTAAATTAGTTATCGTGCATTTGCAATTGATCATACCGTAGTTTTCGTCACAAATGAAATTAGGATTTTCCGTTCTATCAGTGAGATCGATATTGGCAATTTGCTCCATTGAGAATTATAACATAATTAGGAGTATTCTTTTGCCACAAGAAACAATTGCCTTCAAAATTGTAAACAAAAATTGTCAATTCCAGTTGCTTTCCATTGATTTTCCCATTTCTCAATGCTTCTTTTCTGATAATCATTAAGAAGTAGCGAGAGCACCTGGATTACCCGACCAGAACAAAGCAGAAAACAACGGCTTTCAGTGTCCTCGGATGAAATCGAGAATAATGCAATTTTGATGGCCGTCAATCGAAAGCGAAGGTGAATGATCAATCAGTGACCACCGGAGAACGAATTTCGTTGCAAATAACACTGAAACCTTGCTTTCGGTGACCACCGATAAGTTGTGCAACCGATGATCATCGAAAAACATCGTCCGATTTCCAACTCAACTTCCGATTCTCTGAGACATTCATAGTAGATTTGTTAAGAATTTCAAAATCAATGATTGGATAAGAAAACATAGGTGTCTTCGTGTGTTTTTCGCGAGGTTATGCTACGCACTGATTACACCTGGTAGGAATACAGGGTGAGAGGAGAGCTGCTTATTGAGGTTAATTTCGTTTGTATGGTCACTGATGTATATCGTACAATTAATTTCCCTCACTTGTGCAATTTGTGAGGCTCTAGGCGAATGCCTATTGTGCAAGAGGCACAGAGGGGTATATATATATATATATATATATATATATATATTCGATAAGTAGCATCGAAAAACCAGTTGCACTGCTGATAGAGGAAACTTTTGGTCAGCTACACGTGCTTGTATCGTACTTTTACATTATAAACTCCTTCGTGCAGCGTTTTCAAGAAATTATGAGGTTGTTGCTCAAACGTAAGCATGCATCAAGACACAAACGGACCGTCTCATCTGAAGTTACCCGTAGCAAACTGCATAAATGTCACTCAATGACGTGAACTTTTCTTGTAGGTTATGTGATTTTTAGCCAGGCTATGTTCATTATGACCTCTGTATAGTAGTGGTAATCCACAAAAGAATTACATATGCAATATAGGCTGAGCGAGACGCGGAAAAAGGAAGAAGTCATTTAAGAGAGATATGCCAAATAAGTTCATCTATACTAACAAAAGAAATTCATATGAATGCTCACACCAATTTTCACGATATGTCGCTTCATTCAACCAATCCCTTCGAGCATCGAGTACGGCTACACTCATTGCGATTAACTTTGAACCGTGGGTGTAGGAAATCTTCTTACTCGCAGTCGTACTTCATCAGAAAAAAATTATTTCTGTGCTCAATAACGACAGAAAATATCATCTTGTACGATGGTCAGTTTGTGTAATTCAATGGATATACATAGGTGCTAGATGAAATGACCACAACCATCCTTCACATCAGAGGAACCGTACTGAGAACCAGCGCAATGTAGGGAAGTCAGCTCTAGTGCGTTAATGATCATGAAGGTATACTTCATTCATGTACCATCATACAACTCCAGATATCCCAGCATGCTGTTCCCAGGACCGAAAATCCAAGTTATCAAGTCCATTCTAGAGGACATCGTTTTAAATAACTTCGCTCCGATGTTCACAAGTTAATGATCGAGATACCGTGTGCAATTGGTCCTAAAATGCTAAATTGGTTTGTGGAAAATATTAGTCTGACAGTGAGCAAATACATCATCAGATTGTGATAGAAGATAAAANAAAAAACGATATGGACGACAAATTCACAATCCGATTATCGTCAAATGTCAATAACGGGGTTTGAATATTTCGAACGTGTTCGAAAGAGTACAAACAGCTTTGTGCCATCGGCTCTCAGCAATGTGATATGAATGCAATTGATGCACTGTTTTTTGGTCTTCGTCATTTGAAATCACAAACAATGTACATCAGATGAACCGGCAACTGCAACCGCACCGAGATAGGGAGACAGACAAAACTATTGGTCGTCTCAGACTTGTTTCGCATTTTAGTATTTCACGGGAATATCACCTCATCGATAGGATTCTCATTCGATGACACTTCTTCAAAATGTGTGTTCAATTTCGTAATGATCGATTTTGGTACAAACTCCACAGAACTTTTCACTGAACCGACAAACTGGATATGAATCATGGAGTAAACCAAACATTCCACAACAAAGGCACTAATTTCGAATATGAAAGTGTAAAGTACAACAGGATCGAGACAGTGACTTGCACTACCTTCCAGTTTTTCATTTAGTCATTGTAGTCTGAACCATCACATTGATCACTGATTATTGTGTTTGAAGAGTGTCCTCAGTTCTGAGCAATGGTACCGACGGATCGAGCTTTTGCAAATTCCCAAATTGGATGAAGTGTGGATAATTCGAAGCAATCGCTTCCAGTAGCTCACATTTTTCATATTTTTAATTTTCATTGTTTGCTCTTGATTTAGGCTAATGCTAATCGTTAAGAATTTCCGATGAAATTTTGCATACACGATTAACAACGGCATTAGCGTCACGAACGCTTTCATAACGAATTGCTGTAGATGCGCATTGTTGAAAACGATGCATTCCAATTAATCCGAGTATAACGTGCCAAAGTCCATTGTCAGCGGTATAATCGGTCATATCATGTGGATATTTATTCCTGATGTTCGAAATCGAAAAAAGCATTTTGGGGGTTTCTTCTCGGACTGGAAGCACCACTTAATGACTGCTTTGTGATATTCTCTCAAAAAATTTTGCCTTTTCTTTTTTGCGTATTTTATTGTGTACTTTTAAGACTTAAAATTGTTGTTGATGAGTGACACTGGAGATGAATCATTACTTTCGCAATTGACCTGATATGTTCCTGTCAGCTTCCAGTTTCAACTGGAAATCAGTCGTATGTTAGAATAAAGCGTATAAAAGCTATTATCGCTCTCATTAAACGACACTTTCAGGCGCGCATTATCGAACATGTCGTCTCGTTATTTGATCATATCAATATTCGTATTCGGTGGATTACTGCTCAATCACGGTATTTTTTCATTTGTGATGCTCAAAATTAGATTTCGAAATTTGTTCAAAAGTCCATCTCGTATCGCGGAAAATTCTTTTTTTCCATCGATACTAAGAAAACTGAATGATTTTTTCAAACCGAACTGAACGTGATTCATAAGAGCGCAACCGTAATACGGGAAAACACCCACTCATGCATTTTGTTGACAGTCTCTGAGCGAAATGATTTTATGTGAAAATTTTCAGCCGATGTGGTGGATGACTGCATTAAGAAATATAGTAAAACTTTCTGTTCAAGACTGGAAAAGGCATGCTCACTATTGACACACATAGATATACCGATGCATAGATCCATTGACAATTACGTGTTGCCTGTACCTATCGGTGGCTGTATGGCTCAAGGTGAAAGGCTAATTTTATCTGTTACGCGACCACCGCAACGTCACATTCATTTTACTCCCCCCGAGCGTTTTCTGAAGGAAAAGTGCAAAATAAAAATTTCTAGCTGAAAAGATCAGTTTTGGATCGATAACCGATATGGTAGCTCGATTTTTTTTAGAGAATGCACAAGCGATGTGCTACGCAAGTATGGGGCAGGAAAACTGCACTGGTAAAGCTGCAAGATGTATTTTCAGAAAATTAAGGAAAAGAATGAAGAATGATAATCCACTATCGTATTTGGAGATGGAATGCATGAGAACCCGTAAGTCATCTGAAATATTCGTCATTATTAATCTTCTTCAATCGATCGCTTGTGATGTCAGTTGCATTGTACCTGTACCCTCTCAACTCCTGAAATTTGCTAGGCTCTTGGATGGATCCGATTTGCCAACCACGTCGCTAATCAATTACTCGCTCGCTAATTTATTCAGTAGGAGCGAAAGTTCGGGGTCATGAGACTCTTTGTCGATAGAAGGACCAAAATGCTGGAATTAGTTCAGCTAAACCGAGTCTCAGGAACGTACCGTTTCCTTGATCCAACTGGTTCCCATCAAATCAAAACATCTTCGAGGATAACGTCATTACAATAAAGCACCCATCATGCCGGCAGGACTGCAGCTGATTGCAAATTGCACTCAAATCAGGACACACTCATCCTAGACATATCAACTGATTATTCTATACTGGATAAACATGGTCATATTTTCAGAGAATGTGGTGGCTGTTTGCCGCAAAAGATACAATGAATATTGTGCAAAATTAGTGAGAGAATGTAGCATGGTTACTGGAAAAAACAGTCTGAGATTCGGAAAACTCAGAGGGTATCGAATGCCTCCAGCGTTGCGTGAATGCATCAGTTATGGTAGGAAATCATGATTTTGATAGGTCCATTAAAAGTGAACTGATTGAAAATGTGCAATGACAGCAATAAAATCTTGGAAGCGATTATGAGGAGTTTCTATGAAGATGTGCACCTTGAAAGTTTACCTCAAGTAGACCATAGAACTTTTATCACATTACGTTCGTGCAGCGTAAGTCTCAGTTCATTTCACCACATGCCTCGCGATCCAGTTCTCAATTAATCTATGACCTCTTGCAGGAGGTGTTATGCAACTCTGTGCTGCACATCACAATGTTCACCTATGCACAGTCTGGAAGAATCAGTGCAAAAATGCTTTAAAAATGGCATTGAAAACGTCTGCAGTAAAATTGGTTGTGGAAACCCCAAACCCTGGCCTCTCTCCAGAACTATCCTTGTGCGTGGCGTCGCGTAAGTTATGATAACTTTGCAACACTCATTTCTCCCATATTCACTCGCAGACTGTTAATTAGCGGCACCCGTTGTTCATAATGCAAGAAACTACGCCAAGTATCAAACATTCACGAGTCAAGGTCAAAGAATACCAATCCCACTTATCGAAAATACCTTGCTTTGCTTACCACATCAATATGCAAATGTTACCATGTTCTTTTCCGATGTTATTCATTGCATTGCATGTGATCACGTCCAGGAAATCAACAGTTCAGAAGAACGTGTCCATTGTCAGTTTATAACTAACTGGAATCTGTTAGCGGTCAAAAAATTTTCGTCATTCGTTCACGAATAGCAGCTGTTTAAACATTTTATATTGATAATATCAATTCATATTTCAGAGGATATAATGCTAAGATGTATTGCGAAAATGGGACAGGAGGCGTGTAGTAAAAGAGAAGAGGAGTGCAAACGAAAATTTGGTCCACCAGATGAAGAGCTTCCAAAACCACTATATACACTCTCATCTCTTGTTCTCAGCTGTTTAGCCTCAAGCACGTGAAGCTCTAAACGATCATACTTTAACAGTGACCATCTGATAACATTTTCACTCGAACACAGCACTGTAATGTAAACTAATGATGGCTGCTTATCACTCTTAAAAACATTTCCGCTATTCGCTTATACGCACTCAAAATCACTTGTATCAAAGACACGAAGTAAAATTCACATCCGAGTCGAATTAAGTAAACACATCAACAATCTCATTGATATCTTGAAAACAAATTCGCTGAAGGCCGAGCCATTCAGGAATGCAAAAGAGCGCCATTGGTGTCGAGCAATGGATATCATTTATCCTCTCTGAAGGAACTATTTCATGCTCGTTTGCTTCGAACCTCCTTTCTGCTGAAGTATTCTGCGGTTGCGTTTTTTTTTTGATTCGCAGAGGAGAACAAAAGAGAGACAGCACTGGAAAGTGTTGATGTATTGACGGGCTTAAAATATTTATTCTGAGAATATGCAAATGTCAGAATGAAGAAACGCAGCGGGTAAAGGTCTTCCTGATTGTGAGGATAGAAATGTATTCCTATGGAGAAAAGTCTTTCAATTTGAATGGAATTAATTAAGAAAGTAATGAACTGTTAACTGAAACAATGCCGAAATTCAGAGAACTGGTTTGCGGAAGAGTACATGCGCAGTATTCACTAACCACATATACAAAATTCGATTTGTGAAAATCATGTTTCGACACTTCTCTATTTGAAGAACCACGGGAACAGTGAATTGCCGATTCAAATTTTCGGTACAAAACAATTTCGCTTGACAAGGTTGAGATTTAGTGCGAGGCTTCATGAAGGTTTACGCTCGTCACCGGTCCTTAAATGGAACAATTCTTCTAGGAGAGGGTTGGATTCACCTTCGGAATGATTTGCTTAAGCTTACACTCAAATTATTTCGTCACCACTGGAATGCACATTCATTCAAACTTACGAGACCTGAGCTTGGAGCGAAGGGAATTGTCAATTTGACATTGCTCAGTTAATATTATTTCGGACTCGCACAGTTGAGAGTCTTTGTCGACACTTTCAACGTTAAAAATTTTCAAAGAGACAATTTTCGTCGTTCGTAGCATACACATGATGCGCATCTCTATTTCAGAATTCATGACCAGATTTCATCTCAGTTATCTGTAGAACGTTCTTCCGTTCAAGTGTTTTTTGTTGAGATTTCGCGCACATCATGCTGTCACTTGGGCAGTTATGGTTTCGTGACAATATATTCAGGAATAACCAAACATAATTTTTCCATTCTCACAGATTCGACAATTTTTCAGCTGAAGGAGTTGCCAGTTTCCCCTGTATCTGAATGAATACATACGTTGAAGCACTCCGAATTCACCTTAAGGATTCTCTCAATAATTAAGGATTATTTAGTGAGATTCTCAGGTTCCTGCAAACGTGGCTGTTTGAATGTCATTTTAAATGAAATGTTGCCTCCAGTCGTTGCTCCTTCTGATGTTTATGTCAATTAGTGACATCATAGGTAAAAAATAGTCTTGTGGCAAACAGCCAGTGTTGTGCTTTGATTAAAATCCTTGGTTTACGAACCTCATGACTTACGTTGAATTCTGGTTACGACCAAAATTACCCGCAGAAACTCGTCTCGGTTTAAGATCACTCATCGGTTCTGGCCATTTTCAGTACAACTTATGGACTTTTCCGTCATTCTCACGAGCAAGTTCGGACGCAAAAGAGGATTCACGGCGATTCTCGACATCTTTTGTCCCGTGAACAGCATTCGTACATTATTTTAGTCGTTTCTGAATTTCAGCGTATTGTTTTCTGATTTTCAAGATTTCAAATGATATCAAAACCTTATTTGTTAGAGTACATTTGGGCGTCTGCTATGTTACCACGGAAATCGTTCCATTTCGAAGAAATTCAGAGCTAGAACGGTACCAGGTCAATCTGCCCTAAAGACATTTTGCCTAACGACAGTTTGCCTAACTTACGGTTTTTTAATGGATATTTCGCCTAATAGGCAAACCTCCCAGGCAAACTTTCCGTTAGTCAAACTATTCGTTAAGCAAACTGTCCGTTAGGCAATGTGTCTTTAGGCAGATTGACCGATCACGGCTAGAACTGGATAGCGAACAAGTTTTATTAAAGGATTGGTCAGCAGGAGGAGGAACAACCGAATCAAGGTCAAGTTCTAGTGTAGAATCTTGAACGAAAGCTTGCTATGAAATAACCTCTTGAAGCGATATTGTGGGAGCCATCGAAGAACACAACTTTAATTGCAACTGAACATTCCATTCTCATCATTTGATAATGCTCTGAACTTCAGGAACTGAATATCAATGAAGTGCTTGATATTCAGTGCTAACAATAAAAGTAATCTCAGAAGATTTGGGATAGACGTACATAATCTTCGTTTATTGAAGAACGTGCTTCCGTTTACGACGAATTCGTTTTGCGAGCAAATTACTGTAAAGAATTATGGTCATTAAAGACGTTCTGCTGAACTTTCGCCGGAATATGCAAATGAATGTGTAGTGCATGCAAAGGATTAGTGCCTGCGTTACGAACGAATTGCCGTTATTCGTCCATCCAGATGAGCGTGACATAGATTAATGAAGAGCAGAATAATCAGTTGGATATTCAATGAAATGTTACGTAAAAATTCATCGAGCTGTCGTTGATCATGTCATTCGTCC